GTTTGATGTTTACTTCTTTAAAGAAGTTTTCCAGTTCTTACTGTCTGGTAATTTGATTACGTGTCAGTTTGTGACACATATTCACGACTTTCCATACTCAGGTTCAATGCTTTGTTCGTGGTCAATGAACCTGAGTTAGGAAAGTCGTCAATAGGCAATTTCTGGTTACCATTTCTAGCCTCCTTCATAGCTAGCGCATATTCGGTTCTCGACCAGCGGTTACTGCMAGCAGTCACTTTTTTAGTTATCTTTTTTATGGGTTGTCAGTTTCAAACCCACACCTTTTTGGACCTTTTGGCATCTTTAATAGGCATCTTTGAAAATGTCCGACCACTCTTTATCATATGATAAATGTGACTTTTAGTAAAAATATACATCTAAAGCTTTCAATTCGTAACTAATCCTTAAATAATGTTTTCTTAGGTCACATCAAAGCCAACCTGGGCATTGCTATCAGCGAATTTCACAAATATACATGTCTGCGATTTGTTCCTTATAGTAACCAGAAAAGTTACATTACATTTGACCAAAATGATGGGTAAGTGAGGTTTTGCACATTATAATTCTCTTCTTATGTAATTATGGTCCGAACTGCGATGAATCTGTAAATGATTAAATCAATGGATTTCCCGAAATTGCTCCACAATACTCCATTTTACAGTTCCAAGCGCCATCTTGAAAGGTAACAAGGCTTTGCATCAAAGCGAGACAGGAGTTGAGCCTGCCGCGCAGTGATAAATACCTTTTGTTCGCACCAAAGACAATAGTCTCCTTCACGGTTACCTGCGCCATCTTGAAAGGTAGCCGTGCCTTGTCATCGAAGCGAGACAACCGTTGAGCGTGCAATGATAGAAACCTTCTTTCACACCTGTAGACAATTATTCACAGGTATCTATCATTGCACGCTCAACGGTCGTCTCGCTTCGGTGCAAAGGCASGGCTACCTTTCAAGATGGCGCAGGTATCCGTGAAGGAGACTATTACTCACGGGTAACTATCATATTGCAAGCTCAACTTCTGTCTCGCTAGGCTTTGTTGCAAGGATTCGGCTACCTTTCAAAATAGCGCTTGGAACTGTAAAATGGAGTATTGCGGAAAGAGACGGGGGGGTCTATAATCGAAAATTGGTTTAAAATTTAACGAGTTGAAAGGAAAAAGTTTGAAGACTTGAAAATAAGGTAAATAAGATATACGTGACTATATAAATTGAAAAGAGATGGAGAGCTTTAATTCTTTATTTTTTCAAATTTTTTAATTCCTTATTTTTTCAAATGGTTAGGTTTGAGGTTAACGATCGGATAGGTCTTATTTAGGGTTCGCAGGTTAGAATATTATCGTCCGGATCATTTTTTTTTCTAAGTGAGGAGAACCAAATCCTCAAAATATTTTTAAGTCCCACTCGTGTGTTTGGAAGCCTATGACGTACTTGGTTACACGGTACACGACGATAGTACCTTTTTAGGTACTACAATAGCTTGCGAGACCAAACTTGCGAGACCGTTTTCAGTTGACAAACGTATATGGTGCTCCCGCACTACAAAACAGAGCTCCACAATAATTAAACCTAATGCTCTTGTCGAATATCATATTTTATTATTCATATTTGAATACAAACGTAACATGAAGAATAAGGTTTTTTGTCTCCGGCTCCCATACTTAATAATATTAATCAGACGTCGGTCTTCATCAGTGCTAAAATGTTTACAAAAACCGTTGYCATTGACACGCGAGTAGATCTCATATTTTAACTTTTAGCGCGCGGGGTTCTAAAATCTACAGGCCTGCGTAATAAATTGTTGAAGTTTCGGCTATTGCTATTCTTAGTTGATTTAATTCACGACGTTTCGGGGTCAYCGTGACTCCATTTTCAAGTGATACAAAATGAATGATAATAAGTACAAATATATAGGACCATGATTAGCATAACGTATTGTAGTGGAAAACAATTGTTTAAATAAACAATGTCATTAAGAGTCGACGAATAGTTTTTTTCACTTTGGACATCGAGAGTAGGTTTTGGTTTTAAATCTCTCATGTAGAGCATTTCGTACACCAGGCAGTCAAATTTTGAAGTGCATTTCTTCAAAACTTTCAAGGTGTTTCATAGTGGTTGGCACTCCCGCGCACCTAACATTCTTAAACGGCCGTTTGAATAACTTAATGTAACTCGATTTTCATTAAATAACAGGCAATATTGTACTTAGATGGAACATTTTTAAACATGTATTGATTTTTAATTTTCTGCAAAAATAGCAGTTTTATGGTAGAAAGAAAGAATTTAGAGAAAGCTGTTTTCCGGTCAATTTTGATGGCACCTAGAAAACCAAAAATACTGCGTTTAACTGTAGGACATCGCTARAAATATATCTCAAAATCAAGGAAATTCTTCCAGCAGATTTTGASAAAAACGTTTACAGCCGTTACGGATAACACGTAGRGAGTCGAAAGAAAAATACTACTGGATTCATGCATTTTATAGTTGTCAATTTTATGTTTTTCAGTAGTTTTTGTAAAAATTTTGATATTTCTTTGCCACTAGCACGCACGTGCGTATATGCGTAAAGGACTTTTTGGCTAGTACGCACAAGTCAGGGACCGCGACACATATTTTGGATTGGGGGGAAGCTGACGACTGCCGAAGGCGGGAGTATTAACTCTTTCCCGTCCGTCCCTTGAAATTTAGGTCGAATTCGACCTATGCGTCAAAAATTTATAAGTTGCCGAAATAGTAAGCTAGAGCCCTGAAATTGCTCGTACGAACTTACTAGTAGATATTGTCGATCTTACAGTTGAAAGAATTTCGAAACGAGGAAAAAAAGACACAAAACAGTACTGTGCTTTGAAATGAATGCCAAAATCTGCGTTGGAAGGATCGCAGGGTAGACTGATTTTCATCTCATTTTGTAGCATCAAAATATGTTCTCCTAGCAAAACGTCCACTTGGTTTGCAARCCCCTTTGATGAACGTCCTCATTTCGACGTTTTTATTTTGTCAAATTCACTGCAGATTTTTAAACAGACCTCTATTGAAGACCCAGTACAACAAACTTCTATGCACGATCGAAATGCATCATGGGAAGACGGAAAATTTGGACATAAATCGTGCAGCATTCTTGTTTTAAGAATTTTTTTATGTGAGCTCCCCCGCACCTACAGGCAAAATATCGGGCCAATTGCATTCTTTGGTTGTCAAATATTCGCATCTTCTATATACGGWTTTTTATGTAAATTTAGGCTCAACCGGTTGATAAACAAACGGTCTGACCTAAATTTACAAAGCGTTGCATAAATTAATGCTCCCTAGGGAATTAAAATCCGAAATAGTTTATTGACAGCACCTTATATGGAAGTCAATTATTCGATCAAGATGTTAGGGTCGAAAAAGCTCAAAAATCACCAAATCAACAATGAGTTAAGTGGGTTCTGGGGGTCCTCCTCCAAGAAATTTCGAAATAATAACCTCGCATCTTCGTTGTACGCTGATCGAAGGTCTGATTGGTTAATTGATTGGTCTGATTGGTTAATTGTTATGAACTATCAGCGGATATATCATAAATTTGCGTCAGCATTTTTTTCAGTCGCGATTTCCGTAAAAAATTCACATGAAAAGATTTTTAAAGTGGCAGAATTACTGGAAGAGCCTTTTTTAACATTTTTGATGATGATGAGATGCTCGGCATCCAACTACCTGGTTTTGAGATCGATGTACCAATTAATTACGAAGCGACAAACACTAATGGAGAGAATGACAGTGCGCCAACTTGATACTAATTTGAATCTGAAGCGCAAGAATATAGCAAGAAAACCTCGATTGGCTTTAGGCATGGCATTGAAAGACATCTAAACCAGCCACCAAATAACAGAAGTCTACAAATCGTCACGGATGCTCGTTTTCAAAGATCAAACCAGATGCTAGATGCAATTAAAGGCGCTCAACGAGCGCATGTGGTTACTCCCAATATTGTTTGTCATTGAAATGTGTTCAAAAGGAAAGTTCTTTTCATTGATATGGTTGAAAGTTTTTGAGAGTTCTTTGAAGTAGGGTTGAAAGCAACTGCTAAGAAAATGACCGACATTTGAATAGTAATTTGAAAATTATAAACGGCCGTCGGAAGTTCGGTCCTACTGTCGTAAACGAATCGGAAAATTACGTAACTCTGTTTTGCATGACATCAGCCTACATCAGTTAGGAACGCCT